AAGAGGGGTGATCTGGCATGCTCTGCAGAGTGACTCAGCCCTCACATCATGTGCCTCTCTCCCTGTCAAACTCCGCGTTCCTGCCGACTCAAGGCATCTGTGTGTATAAGGAAACTTTTGACAACAGCAGCCTAGGGTTGCTTTAAATACACCAAGGAGGGCACGTCTCAGTTAGTGAGCATTCATAAATAACCTCCTAATGAATAAAAACAAGAGGATGCCGAAACTCCCATTCTGCAATAAGGTCAGACTCGTTCTCCATTTGGAGATGGAGTATTGATTCCCTCATCAGCCAGGGGAGGCTCTGGCACTCCCAAGACACAGTTCCACCCAGGGGGCTGCTCACAGCCCAGCCTCTCTCAGCTCCCTCAGTCCCAGTCTATGCATCTGAACTCCAACTTCTGGGAAAATGCTGGAACAAATCCCAACTTTCAGAGTTATCTTCAGCTTCGAGACAATATTTTCAGGAGTCCAGCTGTATTTACTGAACATTCATGGATGAATTCCTAATGCATCCAACTTTTTAGACCAACTATAATTCACCTGTTACATTTGGACTCTGGGCTATGCTATAGTTTTCCTAAATTGAAACGTTTCTTATGCTCAAAGGTCTCCCTAGTGTTCAAAAGCAAAATTGGTTTCCTATAAAAACTTGGCATCACTATCATTAATTAACAGAAAGCAGAATGCCTCTGTGTGTTTACCTTCGCGAAGTGTATCCATGCAATGCATTTCTTTCCCAGAGGCATAGTTTATTCCTATAGACCCCAGATTCAGAATGTATTAAAAAACAAATGCGTATCTTTCACCAGCAGGGAAGTTTTGAGAAGTAGACTAATATACTTCATGAACAGACATCAGACACAGGGGTGTGAAAATTAAACAGAGCCTCTCACTATGAGAAAGTAAATTATGTTAAATCATTCACTTTATCTGAGGCTACTTTTCTGGGGCTTGATCCAATTTGCCCGACAATGTAGGGGCTGATCATCCAGCCACTCAGTAGCTGTCCATTAGCCAGCTCTCTGTCTGATCCAACTTATTAGTAATGCAGGTGGAAGTGTGTGTGTGCATATGCACCCATGTGCGTGTGATTTTATTACTAGTTATAATAACAAGTACTCCCAGAACTTTAGAGCTTAAAGTTAAAATTCTTTGAAAGACTGGTGCTGGAAGACTACAACAAAGGTTCTCTGTGTGGTTTCTCTTCAGTTGGCATAATTTGAGTCATTGTACGTCTAAATCCACGAACCATATTGGAGTATTAGTTACATTTCTATATGCATGAGATGATTTAACAGCATAATGACTTCTGGGTACACCCCTGAAGTCCGGAGCCACATTTTATATTTTTGCCTCTATGACTTTTACAACTAGGTTAGGGATAATGATAAACACTAGACATTTGATAAACACTGTGCTGACTTTAATTAGAGATGATCTCTTCCCTCCACTATTTATGACCTGTGATTGAGAACATAAAATATTTGAATTCAAAAATCCTCCTCAGAACTCTTCAGGCTTGTCACTCAGAAGATGCAGGAAGCACAGTGGGACTTGCAGTTGAAGGAAATGGCCTTGTTGGCAGTTCTCTTTTCTTTTCCCCTTCTGTTGAAATCAGGGCCCGTGCCAAACAGAGCAATGCCATGTGTCCTGGGAGCACTGAGTAACATCAATTCTATTAAACTGAAAATGGGACAGAGCCCAGACTGAGGCAGGCAGGAGGCTTGCTGGGGCCTTGGCAGCAAAGGGCAGGCAGGAATGGGCATCGTGAAGCAGAGTCAAAGCCAGGCCAGCTGCAAACTTGAGGCTTCTGAGTCCAGTCTGACAGGTGCTCCCGCCCCAGCAGGTATAGGGGCCACAGGGCCTGCAAGATCCACTCTTCCCCTCACTCTCCCTGCTAGACCCTGCCTGCCCTGGGTGCTCACCAGCCAGGCACTTCAGCTCCAGGTTCTACCTGGGCACCCCATCCATCTGTTTTTTGGTACAGTAACCCACCCCTCACCTCTAGTGATGGTGTTTCTTCTTCCTTCTCATTTGAAGATGCTTCAACTACTTTTCTAGCATCGTGAGCATCATGACCCCTCCAGCTTATCTTCAGGACTTACTCCCATAACTGCCCCCTCCCCCCAGGTGACAGCATTCAGCCGGTCATTCCAAGCTTATGTTTTGTCCTTGGCTCTGAGCTTAGAAAGGGTCAGACTCAGGCTCGAGGCACAGTTGTCAAACGGGATTGTGAAGTCAGCCCTGGTTCAGAGTTCGTGGATCAACCGAGCTTCAGCCCACAGGGAAGAACCCAGTAGTAAGAGATTCTTAGGGCGGCCTCAGTCGTGACGGCAGGTGGGAGGCAGCTGGCAGGAACGGGAGGGTAAGCAAGAGCTCGGGGCCAACACCAAGGCCGGTGTTTTTGGCCACGTCACTGGACACCCTGGACACAAGCTGGGGATTGTGAAGTAATTCCCGAAGTGAGGCTTCCTGCCGGAATTGGTTGTGGAACGGAGGTGGACATGAGGTTGGAATTGGGACCTTTTTTTTTTTTAAGATTTTTGTTTATTTTTTTGACAGAGGAGCGGGAGAGGGAGAAGCAGACTTCCCACTGAGCAGGGAACCCAATGCGGGGCTTGATCCCAGGATGCTGGGATCATGACCTGAAGAATTGGGACCATTTTAAAGCCAGCTTTAAGGAGTTCAGGAGGATGAAGCCAGAAGAGAAAGAGATGGGCACAAGAAGTAAGTGATATGGATACTTCTCAGAGGAGACACAGACTTGAAAAACGACTATTTATAGTCTAGGAAGACAGACAGAGAAAGATATTTATTTCCACTAAAAAGAATTGCGTCTGAAAGAACTTTTAGGAAGAAAAAAAGGTGGCGTTGTTAGCAGTTTTAGGTTTTCCAAACTAAAGAGAAAATGGTTATGATAGTAGCTATAAATTTACTCACAAACCAGGAGCATTTACGTTCAGGGGGCCCGCACCTTGCTGAAGGAAAAAGAATAAATTTCCATTTCAGAACTTACAAGTTCCAAGTTAGATGACAACTTTCTCAATAGAGGAGGCCATTCAAAGTCAACATTCAGGCCTGAAGAGGCCTGCGGGTTATAAGGTAACATCTGAACCCACACAACCCAGATCTCAAGGTATCCTCCCAAAAGTGTGTGTCAGTGAGTTCATTCTCGTCGCTGCGTCATCCGATGTGCCCTCAAAGTCAGTGCAAGATTCGGGGCAGCAAAGACTTAAATATATGCTTCGAACCTGGCTAATTGCCCAGAAGTAGAATGCATCCAAGGATCCGATATTCTGACATTTAATAAAAGTTTGAATTATATTTGCAGTGTGCTGTGATTTAATTTTCTTGAGTTCAATATTTAATAAAACAATAGAAAATTATTACAAGTACCTCGTGCTATTCAGAAACTCGTGGATAGGAACCTGGTTCTAGGGTCAGACTGAAAGAGATTAAATCCCAACTTAGCTACGTACTGGTTGTCCGACCAGCAAATTACTCAACCTATCTTCCCTCAGTTTTTCTCACCAGCAAAGCAGGAATGATCATCAAATCAACTTAACATGGCTGTTGTGAGGATTAATGAATTATTACACACAGAGAGCTTAGAGCACTGCCCGGCATGTAGTGAGCATTGAGCCTAAGTTAACCAAGTTTATTATTTTTTAAAGTGGAACCAGGCTATGGGCTGCTGGGTGGCTCAGTCAGTTAAGCGTCTGCCTTCTGCTCAGGTCATGATCCCAGGGTCCTGGGATTGAGTCCCGCATCTGCTCCCTGCTCAGCGGGGAGTCTGCTTCTCTCTCTCCCTTTTGCCCCTCCCCACTGCTTGTGCGCTCGCGCTCTCTCTCTCTCAAATAAATAAATAAAATCTTTGGGAAAAAAAGTGGAACCAGGCTACTCACTCTTCTTATTTGTTTGCTTGCTCATTTGTTTCAAGTAACTGTCCAAATATCTGCACATTTTCTCAGTTTGTTTCAAATATTCTTCCAAATAAACTCTTTTTAGAAAGAAAAGAATTGTACTGATTGCAGACTTCAACACGGGGAATCTGAGGTGTGTGGGCACATCTGAACCAAACGGGATCACAGAGAAATCTGACTTTTGGGCACCAGCCTCTGAATTTCAAATCTGAGAGAATGTTCACAAAGCACCAGGAAAGAAAGACATGGAGAACAGGTAACACACTTGAATTTCTGATGGGTTGTTTCAATGAATGAGATTAAAAATGAACCATAGACTTGACACGGAGCTAATAATGCATGCTTTCTTCATGCATGCTGCCACTGTATCAGGACAAAGTACTTGTGAAAATGACGCTAGCTAGCGACAAGTATCTTGCTTCATTTTTCTGTAAAATCTTGTTGAGGGTTTTTGTTTTCTTCCTGGATCTCTGATTATTTAGGTAGAATAGGGTATAAAGGGTAACAAGGACACATAATAATAATAATAATAACTCCCATTTATGGAGAGCCTAAATGTGCCAGTCTCTATGCTAAGCACAATATATTTAATTTTATAAGAGGTCTGGGCTGTAGCTATTACTATTATACTAGTTTTACAGGTGGTGAAATGGAGAACAGAAAGGTTACGTAAGTTTTTCAAGATCACACAGCTAACAAGCCCCTGACCTAGCCTTGAAACCCAGCTTTATCTGTTTCCAAAAGACCCTGCTTTTAACCACTGCTCTGCATTAAACTCTCTTAAAACCACAAACAGGTTAAGGACCCTGAGGCCAGAGCTGTGAAACGCCTCGCCAAATACCACCTGGTTCCTCAAAGGCAGAGCCTAGGATTGTACTTAAGATTCCCATCTGACAATTCAAAATGCTTTCTCCTGTACCTAATCTCCACCTTTTTAACAAAAGCAGTCCTATTCTAACTTGGTTAAACCTCTGTCGATCCCTTTACTGAATGCTAAAAAGAATTTCCCTTCCAGGAATGACTTACTCTTGTTTCATAAGCTCAATCAATTCTTTTATAATCCAAAAAATATACCTCGAAGTAAATCCCACAGGTTAGTAGTCCAAGCACTCATAATTTTTTTGTTGTTTCTTCTGCCTTCAAAATCGCCACTCAGGGCATGCAGCCTGTCACAGACTCCTTTCCAGGGACCGAGGCTGATGAAGGGAAAAAAGAGAAGAAAAGACAAAGTCCAAATCTATATTCTCAATCAGATCTAGCATTCAACAGATGATTGCAAAGTAACAGATGTGGGTGACAACAGTCACCTGTTGAGGTCTAGCATCTTAACTAAGACGCCCATTGTGTCCAATCCATGTGTTAAAGATGCTCATACTACACCGACCATGTGATAATTAGGCATTGTTCACCAAACCAGGCATTAGGACTGATGTTAAAAAAAAAAAGGTGCCATATATGCAGAATGCAGATCTGATCACAGCAATAATAACGTTCCTTTTAGTTTATAAGGAGATGCTACTCCAGCCTATGTGTGAGTTGTCTGACTCTATTAGCACCATCGCAGTGAAGGTCCCACATTCCCCTGCTCCCCTGTTAGAATCGAGGAGTGTCCTCCCAAGAGAGGGATCCAGTTTAAGGATATAGGACAAGGGGCAATGGACATGGGATCTACTCAGTCTCTCTGGAATCACCAGCAGAGCCTGTGACAGAAAGACCCCCACAAAAATTGTCCTTTTCACATAGTTAGTGTGGCAAAATGTTGGTAACTGTTGAATCTGGGGGATAGGCAAAGGGGTCTATTGTTCTATTTGTGTGAATTTGAAAACTTCATAACAAAACATCTTTTTTTTTTTTCTTAAAGTAATCCTTTCCTTGGGAAGAACCTTCCCAGAGCCTTGTCTCAGTGAAGATGCCCATCCAGGAAGCAAGGATTAACAGAGGGCACTGGACTTCAACCCAGAAACCCATGACCTCTAGCAGTCCAGCTCTCTGGCCCCACACCCTTGAAGGTCCAGCCTTCCCTGACTCCCAGTCTATTTTATATTCTCCTCTCTATTTGCTCCTGTTGTACCCCTGATAGTCCTTGTCATTTTATATTTCCTTTGTTTTCTTCCCCATTCCCCCATGAATATGAGAACTCCTTGAGAGAAGGGGTCATGAGCTATCTGATGTTGAATCACCAACACCTAGTACAATGTCTACATTTAACCAGCACTCAGTAAATACTTGCTCAGTCAAGGAAGAAAGCAACTGACATTGGTTAAGTATCTATTTATTAGCACTACCCATCTCCTGTTGTAAGGACAAAGTGAGCTCACTTAGCACAGTGGTTGGTGTGTAGTAAGCACTCATTTAATGGTAGCTGCTATAATAATTATCCTTATTACTACTATCATTTCTATCACCCACTTATTATATGGTGTCTAATCATCACCTGAAAGGTAATGCTCAGGGAGTTCTCAATCACACCATCACTAAGTAGCAGAATTCAAACCTAAGACCATTTGTCGCCAAAACTCATGCTCTTAGCTCTGCATTATTCTCATCTATTTCTCATGTCACTGACAACTCTAACATAAATCAATCTGTAGATGGGCCTAAATAGAGCCAGAAGACCTCAGTTGTGGATTGCTATCCTCACAGATAGGACATCAGCTTGTAAGAGGCAGGACACCTGTCACCTTCCATGGCTGAAAGGAAGAGTCATCAAACTGTTCCAGGCTGCTTAAACTCAATTTAATCCCTCGTTGAACAGAAAGAAACAAACAGCAGTCCCTATAAGTTCATGTGGTTGAAATAAATGTATATTTCACTGAAGTCAGCAGTTTTCTCCCCAAATATGCATTAGTGTTAGTTTACTGTGCATACACTCTTTTTCCTTAGAACTGAGTTTAATCATGACTATATTAAATCACGTGGGTGCTGTGAGCCCAACAGCCCAGGTTTGGATGAATTGTTAAGAGAACACTGGACTGAAACAATTTCCCTTTCCTTCATCTGCATTTGAATTTCCCTTTCTCTAAGGAGCTGTGAACGGCAGCTGTCATGTTGAGACCAAGTATGAGGGCAGACCAACTGGGCAAGGCGTGCGCTAAGAGATGATCAGTCAATTAGCTCTGCCTATTTCGCTAACTTGGTGATCTCAGACAAGCCATTGTAGGTCTTTATGCTTCTGTTGGCCCAGCCATAAATGAGAGAAACAACGCGCAGATGCAGTGAGATTGGGAGTTCATATTTGCAAAGTACCCTGAAAACCTACGTAAGAGTTAATAGGAATTTATTATACATGCAGATCATGCATCACATTAGACCCCACATTAGGAAGGTCCTGAGGAAGCACAAATTATCTGAGTTTCACTCTCGCATGCCACCCCAGCCCCCAGCTGAAGAGCCAGTGCGGGGGGTGGGGAGGGGTGGGGTTCAGAGCCAGCCAGTCAGAATGCAGCCTCAGGGTCCTTTTGGCTCCAAGAGATCCACTAAGTCCTCCTTGCCATGTGTTTTCCCAGTGAACTCAGCCAGGGATCTAGGCTTGGACTTCCAGGACCGACCTTCAAGACACCCCTTTTCTAAATCTTTTTCCCAGATCATCAGATAAAAGTGTAAATGCATCAAACAGCTAGACTAAACTCACACTTGTAGCTTCTCCGGACCTTCGAGTAAAATTCAAAATGACCTGCCTGGCAGAGGAAGGGAAGCCCTTAAGACAACAAATGAACCAAGGCAGGGAGTGCATCGGATCCTAAGAAGTTTGCCAACATCTCAACTGTCAATGGTTTTACCTCCTCCCGAGTGTTTGGGACTTTCCTTAAAGAAGAGCAGCATGAGGAGCACCTGGGTGGCTCAGTCATTGGGTGTCTGCCTTTGGCTCAGGTCATGGTCCCGGGATCCTGGGATTGAGCCCCACATTGGGCTCCCTGCTCAGCGGGAAGCCTGCTTCTCCCTCTCCCACTCCCCCTGCTTGTGTTCCTTCTCTCACCATGTCTCTCTTTGTCAAATAAATAAATAAAAATCTTTAAAAAAAAAAAAGAAGGGGGCGCCTGGGTGGCTCAGTTGGTTAAGCGACTGCCTTCGGCTCAGGTCATGATCCTGGAGTCCCGGGATTGAGTCCCGCATCGGGCTCCCTGCTCGACAGGGAGCCTGCTTCTGCCTCTGACCCTCCCCCCTCTCATGTGCTCTCTCTCTGTCATTCTCTCTGTCTCAAATAAATAAATAAATAAATCTTTTAAAAAAAAAAAAGAAGACGACGAAGAGCAGCATGAGGGATCTTAAATAAATCCCGAGAAATCAGATATTTCCTTTTACAACAGCAAGCCTTCCTGGGAGATAAGAGCTCGCCTCCCACAGCCTCCACACACAAAATAATAAATAAGAAAATAGTGGGGGAAACAGGAAATAGTAGCATCAAAGAAGACTGAATTTCAGAAAGCAAAAGAGAACTTTCAGTTGGTTTAACAACTCCTTGACTCCATAGGTAAGTCTAGAAATTGTAATCGTAATGGAACACTAAGACAACTTCCCAAAGGGGTCCATAGCCCTTTCACGATGAACAAAAGGGAACAACAGATCAAGATGCCCGGGAGAGGTATGCACCCAGCCCTAAGAGTTAGGGAACCACTGCCAAATCCCTATTGAGGAAAAAAAATTTGTCTTACCCTTGTGTCCTGGGCAAGGGCTAAACATAACTGGTTGTGCAATGAGTTGATTAGGTGAATGAACACATGAACCCTGAATCAACTCCATCGAGCACACTGAGTTCTCTTCAAATAACCCATTCATGTTTTTAAGCTTCAGTTCAAGAATCCTAATCAGATATTATTTTTAGCCATGAAAATCTGAATCTGACAGATCCTAAATGCCACCTGACATCCACACTGGTGCATAGATCAGCCTGAATTGGAAATACCTGCACACTCACCATTGCAAGGAGAAAAGGTGTAAACACCACATAGAAATGAACATAGCCAGTCTTCATGTTTCCATGTTGGTCTCTAAACCTGGTACTGGGGCTCCTCACCTAGTCTGCCTCTCCCCACCTCACCTGCATTGCCACTCCCCACAAATAACGCTCTTATTCCATCAGTTTGCAGTAATCTGGTTAAAGTAATTTATATTAAATTATGAGCCGTAATCTTTCCAGAAGCATGTGCGTTTTAAAAATAGATCCATTAAGAAACTTCAATTGATCCTCATTGTGAAAGTTTTAGTTAAGTGTAGGTGATTTAAGAAAATATATATATTAGAACATCTTGGTCTTGGGATGCAAGTTATTGAAAGCAAATCAAGCTACTTCAAGCCAAAGGGACTCTGTTTCATTCTTCTCTCTCCTGTAGACCATTTTAACTGCTTCTTTATCTACATAGCAGAATAAAGTCATCCCATGTTCTTTTTTTTTTTTTTAAGATTTTTATTTATTTATTTGAGAGAGAGAGCATGAGAGGGGGGAGGGTCAGAGGGAGAAGCAAACCCCCTGCTGAGCAGGGAGCCTGATGTTCATCCCATGTTCTTAAGATTCCATGTTATAGTTCTAGAGACATACTGCCCATCCCTAAAAACCATTTCTAGTTTGTGGAGAGAAAATCTGACTGGCACAGCCTGGCTCCCTTCAGGGCCAGGGATATGGGGGGTGACTAGCTCAAATATGAATGCTCGGGTCCTACTTATGGGTAGGGAGTTGTGTTAGTTGGTATCTTAAAATCTGGATGGGCATCCTAAAAACTATCTCCTACAAGAGGTTTTCCTTCAGATCCTTTAAATCAGTGTTTTCCAAACTTCCCTGATGGTAGAATCATCAGATCCTCACCTGAAGAGTCTGAATCAATGGGTCTCAGATGGAACCTGTGATTGTCTATTTGTAGTAAACGCATCAGGTCATCTTTATCATGAGAGAAGCTTAGGAAACCCTTGCTGACTCAAAACACAGTGGCTCCCGTCTATACGGAAGGACATCTCTGAGCTGTGCACCCAGCTCCTCCATTCCACAAGTTATTCTCAAAATGTCTTGGCCTATGTACAATTCTCAATGAGCCTACTCCGTCCACAGTCAGCTATCCTGGGAATCTTCTATCCTGAGTCATCTCAAAGTCTTGGGAAGTAATTGTTAAGAAGAATCAAAATTAGGGGCAACTGGAGGGCCCAGTCTGTTGAAGGTCCAACTCTTGATCTCAGCTGAGGTCTTGATCTCTTGATCTCAGAGTCA